GTGTGTGTGTGTGTGTGTGTGTGTGTGTGTGTGTGTGTGTGTGTGTGTGGTTTTACAGGCTCTTTGTGTTTCTCACAGTTTGAAATGTGCATGTTGGGAGTTTTTACATTTCCTGCAGGATCAACTTCTGCCTGACTGTGAACCTAAACTAGATGGATGAATGAATGAATGAATGAATGAATGAATGAATGAATGAATGAATGAACGAACGAACGAATGAATGAATGAAAAAGGGAGGGGTATATCAATATATTGACTAGCTGCTGAGACTGGATGATTTTCAGCATGACTGGCCTCATCAGTGACTGGCTGACACAGCACTCAGAAGTCAGATTTTTCTCTGGTTCATTAATGCACCATCACTAACCAGCTGCTTCACAGTTACTACAACACTGTTAGATGTTCGTGCCACCTGTAAGGTGTTTAAAAATGGAGTCAGAAGAAGCACAAGCAGTGTCAGATGTTAATGAAAAAAAAGGATTTTCTACAGATATTTGTCTGCTGCTCCTTTTCCTCCTCAGTGCACAGTTGTTTTCCTTTAATAATAATAAGCAACAATAAAAATAAAAAGAATCCCAGCTGCCACTTAAACTGGGACATATTTGACTGGTGCTCTTGRATGTTTTGAGATGTGTAAAACAGAAAAAGAAGGCATGAATTTTTCATTAAAAACATTGTTCTCCTCATTATCTTCTTCAGGAAACGTACTATATTTTATCATCTAATGCTGTTAGCTTTTAGTTAGACCTTCTTGGTACCTGTAGCTCCAGTTTTGCTCACTTCTTKYAAKGAACATATTAGCTTTTACCTAARCCATTTACTACTTTTAYCTACTGTTCTGCTAGTTTTAMGTATAATTSTYTTAATTTTAGCTTTTACATGTCTTTTTTCCTACTTTTATGTAGCCTTTTTGGTTCCTTTGGCTACTGTTATATTATTTTTACCTTAAAGAGCATCTTACATCGTAGATTTAGCTAGTTTTGTTACTTTTAGCTAGAATGTTGTTACTTCTAGCTTTACATTGCTGTTTTGCTGCTTTAGCTTTTGTTCTTCTTGATGTTAGTTTCAGCTTTTTTAAAAATTAGAGTCTTTCAGCGCTCAGCATTTACACTGCATTTTCCCAGAAACTGCAGTTTTCCTATTATTTTTCATTTGGTTTTATTTGTACCAACACCTCTGTCCAATAACACAATAATGCACAGTAATCATATTATTATACTCATACACAGACTTTCAATTCAACCAGGAAGAAGYAAATATTTTGTTTTGTCTGTTGTTAAATACAGTTCTTAGAAATCTGAATCAACTATATTCAGAATCAGAGTCAAAGCTTTTTTGTTCTAAAATGCTCCAATTAGTTAATGTCTGCTTTGAATGTGGTACAAAAATCTAAAAATATTTTCATTACACTTGTRAAAAGAAAACCTGGTCCTACAGATTTTACATTTCATTATAAAATAACTTCCAGTCGACATCCTTTTGTACACAAAACTCATGAATTCAATATGTTTTTACTTGTGATCACATTAACTTGTTGAAAATGGTCAAAACAATTACAATGTGCAGAAAGTGATTTTACATTTTGCATGTTAGTTTAACATGTTTCACCAGTGAAAACATGTAAAATAGAGGTCATGTGGTTTTGTGTAAGAATGTGACAAAACACATGAACAAACACTGCAACGACTTTAACCTCAGAAACATTTCTGGATTAGACAATTTTCCTAAAAAAACATAAAGGTGCAGCTTCTGGGGGTTTTTTTTATCAGTATTTGGTTTTTATCCTCTTACATCAGTTTTGCATTTGTTTGCTGGAGTTCAAGAATAAAAACATCAACAGATAAACAAACTACTTGAAAACACAATTTCAAATTGAATGTAATTTTCTGGTGAGCTCCTCACAAAAGCTTAAAGCACAATAAAAGGTAAGAGGTGATTACACACAATGTTGGAGACATAACTTTTGATGATTATGTTTTTTTAGAGCAAATGTTAAGTCAACACAGTTTCTAAAAGCTGAAAATTATTGTTTAGTCTAAAGTGGAAAGCAGAGAAAGTTCAAATATTAACATTTCTCTCCAACAAATCATTTTTCACATTAAAATACCAAATAACTTCAAACATGAAGTTATTTTGAAATTAAACATATTGTATATTGTGTACTTATATAAAACATTATTTAAACTTATGTGCTTTTCTCTCTTTATTAGGACTGTGTTTTAACCTATTCATTTCTGTAGCTTAATCCTGACCTTAACCTAACTTCTGACTCAAAAATGTTGTTCCACCATATTAGGACTGGTCCTGACGAGGTCAGGGTTTATACTAGAAAATGTCCTACAAAGGTAACAAAAACCAGGTACACGCACAGTTAACGACTTTAGACTGATTTGAAATCATTTCCACGAGACTTAACACCAAATAAAATTACACTAAAACTAATTTATGCCACAAAAAAAGRTTTTTGTTTTATAAAAAACAAACAGACCATAAAATAGTGGTTGATTATTAGTACAGCCATTAATAATCTGCATTATAGCATCTGCTTGTCATGTTTATTCCACTACAGAGCTTGGAATAAATATAACAAGTAAAACTAAAAACTGCAGAGTTTATCACAGTGTCACATCAATCTGAAGCACATTCCATGTTTGCCATCTGCTGGTAAAGTGATTACGCTGATCTCTGCAGTGAGTCAGCATACATTACCCATGTTTACTTTCTCTGTAATGATTCTTACTCAGGGACATAAATTTGGCAGTTCACCGCAGCAATGACTGAACTAAATTCTTCTCCATCCTGAAGGAGTTACTTTCTCATTTTAATGAGAAGCCAGAATAATGAGACAAATACCATTAGAACCACATCAGTCACACTGCTGCTCCAAAGGTAACAGTGTTTGTTTTGTTTGTTTTTTTTACCACCTACCCGTTGTGTGGCTGCGGTGTGCTGGCATGGCCCTGTGAGCGCGCGGTGTTAAGTTTAGGTGAGTAGGCCACAGGTTTAATAACTGGTCCTGAGCAGGCACTAGCACCACCTGCTGCAAACGGCCTCGCCATCTTGTTAATGGTTGAGCTCGGGGCAAAGGAGTACTTTGGCTGAGCAGAAGGCGCAGTAAGCGAGTCCTGCGGAGGTGTGGGAGAAGGGAGAAAATGCAGCACAGGGCACACAACATGCAGTTACACATTTGACACGCTCCAAAAGAATAAAACAAACAAACCAAAAAATTATAATAAAGTTTTGCTCTTGCACAACCCGGTCAAGTCTTTTCAGCCTCTCGAAACAAATGATTACAGCATCCTCCGGCAGCAGAACCAGCAGCAGGTCTGTCAAAGCCCGCGAGGCTTTTCTCTGTGCACACAAGACGTGCTTAAGAAGTGCGGACACTGCTATCTTATTTGTGCTGGCTGTCAGCCAAGGAGTGGCCAAAGTAATCTGCTGCTGCAGTTAAAAATGAAATCGCTCAAAGTGAGAATGTGTCATGTAAAACCCACATCGCTCACTAATGAGATTTCTCACAGAGAATTATGCGTGGACAGCAAAAGTCTGCCTACTAAACTGGAACATTGACTCTGCTTTTGTACGTGCCAGCTGCTTTGCTCGTAACAATGTGCCGCACAAACCAGTTCATGACACTATTGTTCTATGAAAACTGCAATCAGTGGGGCAGAGAGGCAGCCAAAAAGGCTCGACAGAGAAACTGAACYCATCAACACTTATCTGGTATCGGGAATTGTGCAAGGTGCAACAAGACACACACAAAGGCAAATAACTCATTCAGGAAGCCGCTGGTGCTTGACTAAAGCACGCTGCCTGGACAATGTGGGTGATTTAGATGAARTTACACTCAAAACGACACAAAACAATATTTAATCCAATAGTGAGGAAGGACTCAAAGGATGTTTTAAATTCCCTGCGGTCAGGCAGCACACCATGCCAAGTCATCCAGGTGTTCACAAACAGGTGAGCAGATAAACATGGTCTTACCTTCCTGTCTTCACCCGTTTTAGGAGCTCTGAGGAAAAACAAAACAAACAAAATGTTACCATGTTGATTCTTCAAGCTAAAAAAGGCTGATTATTAAATACATGCTAAACTAATTCAAGTTAAAGTAGACATATCGTGATTTTAAATCCTTCTTTTTCACAATGAAATCCTTCACTTCAGGCTAATTCTGTGAAGTAACCATTCAGAAAACATCATAGAGAATAGAAAAAACTGAACAAGTTGAAAATATGACCCAAAAGGAATATAAAGATATCTACGCAGCACCGGGAGAAACAAATTTAACATTTTCTGCACTCCTAAAGACTCCAACAACAACAAAATATACTTAATGGCTAAAAAAAGAAAAGCACCACTCCTGAAACAAAATAGTGACATTTTGTTGGTTTAATACAATCTGCAAAGTCAAAAAACAATCCTTTGATTTCCATTTTACTTATTGTGACATAGCCACAATAGCACAGCTACAGCTGAAAAATTTTTAAGATAACCTGCGTCATTTATGTTTTTGAATTATTCCTTCCAGCATTTTCCATAAGTTTCTGATATGAAATCTTAAGTTGACAATTTCCTTTAATAACGACAGTTTGCATTTGCAGCAGCTACCAGTTTGTGTGTGTGTGTGTGTGGGGGGGGGGGGGGGGTTTGGTCAGGTAAAAAGGCTCAGTTGGGATGGGCACGCTTGTCCACTGATCACTGTACATCGTTCTGCTGCAGAGTGATGTCCTTCTCCCATCAACTAGATCCATGATTATGGTCGCCGGCCATTAAAGAATGGGTCCATCAGGTTCTACACATTTTTATGGATGATATTTTCAGTTTTATTTGAGCCTTTAAGTTTCTCTTTCAAGAGTTTTGACTTTTAAATGACTGTTCAATTCAAATTCAAACGCAATGAGAACACACCCTGAAACTTTCTGTCTGCAGTCTGACATCAGACAGCAGCTGAGTGGCTGTAGGACGCTGATATTATTTTATTGCTCAATAAAGATCTGGGAGCTTTATTTGTTTTAGCTAGCAACAACTTCTGTAAAAACATTACCATAGTGAGTAAATGACAAATGACTAGATGTAGTTCAAATTTAAGGAAATATTTGTTTTAGAAAAATCACACTAGTCAGAAGGCAGCTGTGTAAAGACCCCCCCCCCCTCACCCCAATCACTTCTTTCCTGATTTAAATGTTTTCATAATGACTCTAAATGTGAAATATGGATATTTTGGTATCATTTTACAACCATTCAAAACATAAAATGTAAGAGTAAAAAAAATAAAAAAGAAAAGAATACACAATAGAAAAAAAWTATCTTCATCCTGTAGTTAATGAAGTTCATCTGGAAAATTATTTGCTACATATTTTTCTCGCAGTTTCCAGTTTTCACTTGAAAATTTCTCAGAAATATCACTTGTTGGGACAATAAGGATATTTGATGCCAGTTTTCAGTCTGATAAATTTATAGCTTTGAAATACATCCCAGAGCAGCTTTAATAGATCTGGTTTATTTATATTTTTAAGTCTTTATTTTAAAATTTAAAGTTTTATAAGGCTAAAAAATACAATTAAAACAAAAGAACCGGAGGGGTAATATCTGTATCTCTGACTTATTAAGCTAGCCTCATATTCTTATACGTTACCCATTTAGCCCAAAGTCTTGCATGGGTCCCTGCTTTAGTCCTGAGACAATAGGTCAACTTCTCGACAACGTCTATCCACTGGGCAAAGCTCGGAGGATCGCACTTCAGCCATTTTCCTGTAKCTGCCTTATTGTCTGCAGTTATCAAGATTTTGAAGAGATATGCATCTTCAGTCTGAGATATGGTGTCAGGTATCAAACCCAGGAACATTATTCTCACATCCTTTGCAGTTTTGAAGTCAAATATATCCTCCAAAGTCCTCAGAATTCTGTCTAAAAAAAGGTTGCAGCCTTGTATGTGACCAAAAAAATGTTTATTTCATTTTTAAAAAATTATGCAACTTTTTTTTTGAACACCAAAGGAATCAGTGAGTTTGTTTTCTTTTTGGACACAAACAGCTTCCACAGTTGTATGGAGAACAGAAATTYTCCCGTCCACCCTTCATTAACAAAACAAAATAAAACAAAACAAATAAAATCTAATGTGGGAAACGTTCACCAGTTGGTGGTAGCTGAACTGATGGGAGGAGGTGAGGGTGGGCAGGTGATGATGTGAAGGCTTTGCTGTCTCCCCTGGCTTCAGTAAATTAGTAACGTGAACACGTAGAGACATTTATTATTTATTACATGCTATGACTAACATGGGTGTGTGTGGGGGGCGGAGTTGTATAATGCGAGGGGTAACCTTCTATATTTTACCTAAATTTACAGGCTTTATTTTTTTTCATGATATAACTTCATTATGTTATATTCCACAGACAAAAGACAACAGCAGCATTTTTAAATTATAATAAAACTAGCAAGTTTTATTGTATTAACAATAATGAAAGCTGAGTTCAGGTTAGGATTTCCCTTGTGTTTTTATTTATATTCAGACAGCTGAGACTAAAATGAAATGTTATTTTATTTATGTTTGTGTAGATTTGTGGACTCCAATCCATGCTCACATATCAATAAGCGAGCTGCTCCCATTTAGCAGCTCAACTGGGAGTTATAAATTGTTAAATAAGAAGAGTAAAGTGAGAAGAACGGTGCAAAAAAGTGGTTTAAAAAGTGTGATATTATGTCGTTTGTTAACCTGAACACTAAAACGTTAAAACAACAGACCAGTCTTAACTGAAGTCGTAGAGCCCAAAGTGACTCAGCAACTCATATAAATATTTTCCCACAATAAACATGGAAGCTCTCAGCTTTACGCTGCTGTTAGTTCTAAATATGATCCAGTAAAAAAGCTTTAACAGGGTTAAGCAGGAATGAAACGGCTCTCATTGTTTCAGGCAGCAGAGAAGCCAAACAGCAAAGAGAACTTCCTGTGACAACAAGAAATGCCCCGTCATCGCCTGCTCTACCCTGATAGGGGCACATTAAAGTCAGGAAAACCACAGCACTGAAAAGATAGAAGGAGCAAACTGAAGACGAGGCAAACCCCTCAGTCCGTGTCCATCCTAGTCCAGAATCTGATGAGTCAAGAGTTAGGAGGGATATCAGGAATGTGTGTGAAGGCTGTGTTTGTTTTGGCACAATGAAACGAACAAGATGAAATCACTGTTTCTTGGAAGAAATTAGCTCGCCCCGGGTGAGCTCGACCTGCGCTGGAACGGAATATGAGCGCCGCATGAGATCATTTCCTAACTCATTTCATGGATCACTTAGTTTTGGTTAACACATGCTTGGCCTTCCAAGCAGGCATCAGAAAAAGTCAGAAATTTCACCACAATGAACTCTCCGGTGACCCTAATCAACCCTGAACACAACACAAACACACTGCAGACACATCCCAGTTGGCCGATCACTGATGATGAAATATTAAAAGTCCAGAACAGAACTGTTCCTGTAGGTGTTTTATGTAACTGAATGACTGATGACTTTCATGTAAATGAAAACTTATTGCCTGTWTAGTGACTCAGTCAAATTAACAGAGACTGAGCTGAAATTACATGTGGTAGTGGCTGAGAGCTTACCTCAGCCCATACTCTGAGCACTAACAGATCTCATTAAATCTCACATTACAAAACAATTAATAATTTCTCATAAAAGGATGACCTTAGTTTGAAAGTCAGGCATGAAAGTCTACAGGTGACCTGCATTCCTTCAAGGAGTTCTAGTTTTTATTGTTTTTATTGCATTTCCTTAAGAGAAAAGCTCTGGAAGTTTAAACCTTAACCCCAATACGATCCTTGATCTGAACAAAATGTGACATTAAACCAAACAATAAACTATATCTCCTCACTACACAGCTGTCCTCTCTTGACATAAAGAAGCCGTGGATTGCAGCCAAGACAAGAATAAATAAAACTCATGACAGCTCCTCTATAAAAGGTGTTGCAGGAAAAAATAACTTTTTGCTTTTCTTTTAATATAACAATAGGACACTGTGGGATCAAGAGAAGAAAAGGGATTTATAGGAAGGGAGTCAACCATATTTAAAAACAAAAAAAATAATGTTTATGAAATAAGTTTACAATAGCTGAACTCAGCGAGATGAGAAATGAGGGAAAAACAGGATGAAGGAAAATGTTTCTTTTTTATTGGTATCCAAACAATAACCATAACCTAATGAAATGCAGCTAAAAGCAGTGAAGAAATAAGRAGACCTGTTTAACATGTTCTGCTGTTGAGCAGGGTTCGACAAATCCTACTGCCCGACTGCTCGGGGCAGGTAAAACTCATAGTCGGGCAGGTGGGTGTGTCCCGATGCCTGCCCGACCGGGCAGGTAAACAATTTCTTTTATTTTTTATAGGGACATTTATTTGAAATATTCTGAAGAAATATAGTGTTTTAAAACATGTATYAAAAGAATAAATCCRCAAAATTTTCCCCTCCCCWGTAGAAAAGTTACATCGTGCCYTCGTGTCGCAGGATTATTTCKTCCCTCCCTCCTGCTGCACGTCGCGCAGAGCGAAGCTTTAACAACCGTAGTTTTTTCACACCCAAGTTGTTGGAGAAAAAACTTGTTTTTTATGTATTGTTACCCACWGAGATGATAAAAACATGTGGACGTTCGTTCAGTCATTAATCCATCTTGCTAATGTCAGCTTTTGCTCTGAGAGCGCAGCGCAGCAGAGGGTCAGTTCAATAGGCTCACTGTATGGCAGGCCGATATTGCATTTATTTGGCTTCACCACHCTTACATTCCAGTTATCTGAAATTGTTTTATGACTAAATWAGACAMATTAGTTATTTAGGATAAATAATAAAATGTTTTATTTTATTATTTTGTTTTGTTTACTTGTTTTTTTTAAACTTGGAGATTTTTCCAGCTTGAGCTTGTTTGTTTGTTGAAGTTGATTTTTGAAAATATATGATAGAGTTTTTACTTCACTCTGCACCCTTTTAATTCAGAGTAGGATTTACTTTTTTAATGGTGTACATCGATTGTTTTGTTTTTATAAATGAAAGAAACAAACAAATAAATAGACATCTCTTAATATATTTTGACAATTCAAAATACCTATTTAAGATATCTCTAATTATATTCTGACTAGTATAAATTATGTCAGATTTATCATTAAGTTGTATGGAGACTCCAGTTCAAGATATCTTAAATGTATCTTTAGATTTGAGATAGACTATATAAGAGTCAATGAATGCAAATTTCAGACTTTTTCATGTTCAGTAAATTGTATTTAAAACAAAGCTGCTGCTGTTGATTATTCTGTTTTTATAAGCAGCCCTCCTAAGGCCAGTACTCAAGGGGAAACACTGGAAAGATCTAAAAAAGTTTTTGAAGATGTTTTTGATAAAACAATTGACTGACTGTTAGTGACTCAGTCTGCAATGTTTGCATCTGCTAAATCAGATGTCATCTTATGTGCCTCTGTATAACCATGTTAATGTTTTTGTAGTGCAAATACAGTACACATTTTTCTTATATTTTATCAAATTTTGAACAATTTTGTTTCGGGCAAGTAACCTTTCATGTCAGGCAGGTAACATTTTTAGTCACCTGCCCGAGTTTTTCGCAAAACTGCAATGGAAACACTTTTTTTGCATTACGGGAGTCACGTGATCAACAACCGGCTGTTTCTACTGGCGAAAAAGATGACGACGAAGAAGACAACAGGAAGTAGAAGTAYTAGTAGTAATATCACAGAAATAGTATAAAATAGTAAACTCACCGACTACAATTTCCCAAGAACACAGCYTACGTAGACACTCCCAAGTAGGGGCTTGTCGCTGGAAAGCCTCGATAAGACGCCGATGTCTCCTCTGATGATGAGCTCTAGTGTCGCGGTAGCAACATGCTATATGTTTACATCCATTGCCGCCATGTTTGTGATGACTTATCGCGAGAACAAACATATTCACGCATGACTTTAATAGAATTTCTTACTTAATGGAAACACCGCAGTTGCGAAACTGTTTTTTCGATTAACAGAATATCGACAAAGTTTTGCACATATTTGTAGTGGAAACGCAGCTACAGTTACATAGATTTCTGTGGTTATTTGCATGAGAAAAAGCAGCGGCGGCAGCTTGCTGTAGCAGTTCTGTTGTAATCTGGAGACTTCTGTCAGGATTATCCTAACTTTTCTTCTGGAATAACTGTGTAATCCTGAACTCATGGTGGTTTTAAGCTCTAACTAGGCTTTAGCTTGTTAACACGTCAGAATTAAACTCCAAACTGAGGATGTTTAACGGGCCATCTACAACAGGTAAGATATTAAATATTTATAGTGTCTCTACAGAACCCTATCTCAAACTATCTTAACTCTCTCTTCAGTACATCTCAAAGTGAAATCTATAACTCAGTTGCTCTGATTATATTAGGTGCAAAGCAGAATCTCTAAAGCTCAAACTATTTAAAGCAGTAACAGCTCTGCTTTCTGGGAGGACTTTAAATATCCCACAGCTGTTCTCACAAACTAAGTGAACAAAGATGATGTGTAAGAAATTAAAAAGCCAAGTCTCTTGGCAGGCAACAATGAGGTGAATGCGATAACGCAGCTTTACTCCCATTACTTACGAGGATCAAAAAATCAAAATGAGTCCCACGGCAGCAGAAAACTCATCTTTATTATTTTGCAAGTCGATATCTCTTTTTCACCTTCTCTGGGTTTGAAATCTCTTTTCTTTTTCATAATCAAACACTGATGACTTTTTTTTTCTATTGTTCAGAGASACTTTGTCAAGAAACTCTGGCAGTACGTATTTGAGCAGGTACAAGTGCTGCCTGTAGGAGGGCTATTCAGTGCTAATTAAAAGATCTCCTGGCCCAGAAATAAAGATGGACTGCTTTAATCAGAGGAAAATGTCTTTGGTTTCATTTTGAAGCTCAGGCACAATGAAACGTACCCAGGGTACCTCTGAGAATGACTCATTTGAAAAGAATAAAGCCCAGTGTTTCATGCTAACAGCAGTTGGCATGCTGAGGAAAATATTAGTGTCATAAGTTAACAGAATTCAGTGTGTGTACTTAGCTTTGTTAAAAGATTCATAATATTAATATTTTTTTGGCTCTTTTCACAAAATTCTATTGAAACCTGTCTGGTAGACATTTAAACATTCTGCTGGTCAACAAATAAAAAGAACAAAAATAATCAAAAACCACCTCTCTGACAGAAATGAACACTTTTACAAGTGAATTAAATATGAAGTAAAACTAAGTTTGAGTTAAAACTACTCTTTGCCTTGGGCGAAATGAAATAGGACTCTGTTACGATAAAAYTATTTTGCAACCATCTGTCATATAAGGGAGTATTTCAAGGACTTTATGATATCTCATCTTGTCCAAATGAAATGAAGGAAAGTATGTGCACTGCAGGGATTTATGCTCCTGTGTGCATGAGATAAAAGTACAATTTTGTTGCATCACGCACCGCCAGACAACCTACCTGCTGAGGCTGAGGGTCAGGGAGTCTGTTGCCGCTCTAATCTTGTTTTGTGCTTCCACATGGGTCATTTCCTCAGCATTGGTGTCACTGATTGAGACCACCCAGTCTCCCACCCCAACTCCGGCCTGAGCTGCCTTCCCACCCGGAGTAAGCTGTGGGAAAAAAAAAACAGGGATTCTGTCAGAGGGGTTATCTGAAAAGGTTTAACAGGAAATTATAGGAGGATTAAATAAAACCTGTTTTTAAAGCTCAGGATGCAGAGGTGCAACTTTAGTATTGCCAAAAATCCCACTGCTGATTATAGTTGTAATCATTCAATATAAAAAATTACATAAAATACGCATTTTCATATGCTTTACAACACTTCAGAGAAATTAGATTACTTCTTTTTTCCAGCACGTCAGAACACTCACACAACCATATTTAGGCTTGAAAGTCACTTGAAGTTAATGAAGTTACTTCAACACTAAAACTTTTGGATAATTGAATCACTGGAATGTTTTTTTTAATAAATAATCCAGTCTTAAAAAGCATATTGTTTTAGTAAGACACATAATGTGACCCATGCTGGCAAAATGAGTCACAATGAGACATTTCTCAATATTAAAATAGTTTTATTTTCAAATTCACCACTTTAAAAGCTTCAAAAATAATTGAGTAGTTAGTTGAAATTTGGACATTTTGCATTAATACCTCTTAAAAGTTTGATATGACAAAAAAGTAACAGAACTTCTTTAGTTTTTTTTTTCAGTGGATTTTTTTTAAATAGGTTTAAAAGATAACTGTTATAAAACACATTTTAAGAGTATTTTGACCAATTTAGGTACCTTTTCTTGGCCCAAAAGATTATTGAAAATATCAAACTGATAAAAACATTACAGATGTAGTGAACATCTGTCTCTTTGAACAGATTGATGAGTATTTATAATGCCAGAGTAATTTAATTAAGCCCCCAAATTTCCCCAATAATTTAAAAGAGAGTTGGTACTTCTAGGTGTAATGTTTCCAAACATTTCGATTCACTTTTGAGAGGGAAAACATTACAAATTTGTAACAAAGAAATAAAAAAAAATTATTGAACAAACAGAAAACAGTTTTGTCCAGTTATGTCTTAAAAATATAAAAAAACACATTTAAAAAGAGACTGAGTCCTTAAAATTGTCAATCACTGTGCTATCTAAACGTCTAAACTATCAAAGTCATGTTTGTTTTGTCTCTGCTGCAGGGTCTGTTCACACCTAATAATTAACCTGAGGGGTCTGTCTGCGCCTTCACTCAGCGGCACCGAGAACAGCCGTCATAAGGTCATCATGATGTCATTAGTCTGCAGCACATGATTTACTGCAGATGTGACTCCCGACTGGAAGAGAAATGTCTGATAGCTGCAAACAAGGCCCAGATGTTCCCATTAGTCACACCATTTACAGAAACGAGTCATCTACCTTTTTATTTTCTCTGACAGGTAAGTCACTGATTGACAAAAGAATGACGTCATCGTGTGGGGCTGGCAGACGGGCTGCAGGTATATTAGTCAGAGGTCGYCGTCTACAGGAAGAACCCAACATATGACTTTGTGCATGTGAACATATAACCCTGTCTGCCTCTAATAAACAGATCAGAGATGTTGGATCATGAATAGTGAGAGCTTAGTCAGCTTAGCAGCGCAGCTTAACAAAACCAGAGACTTGTGTCAATTTAATACTCATAACTAGAGAACAAAGTGTTCAGCAGCAGAAAGTGATCAGGAGTCAGAATTTCTGTCTCCCCCCCAAAAAAAATCTAATTACTCTCTGATGTCACAGATCTTAGTTCATCAAAAGCTCAGAGACTCAGCAGCGCAGTCAATAGTTTTACACCATGTTCCTGCTAAGATATCACACTCGCTGCTTAGATTTTAACATTAAAGACAGATGTTTGTGTGAGAAGGGGACGAAACACAGTCTGGGAACTGATGACAGCTCAGGATGAACAAAACTATCTTTGGCACTCCGAAAAGAGATTAGGACAAATTAGAAAACATGCCAAAGTTTAAAAACTGAAGAAGTGTACTGCTCAGAGCATTTTAATTAGCTCATGTTCAAACATTATTTATTAACTTTTGACTTTAATGTCACATTTAACTAATTTTACACYAGAAAAACAAAATAAGACATTGAAACTAAACCACTCCGTTCCTAAGCAGGCAAATCCATCCAATCAGGAACAATACAAAGTGACGTGCTCCTGCTTTATATTTTACAGGAGTTGAACGTGTGGATCAACCTGAGGTGTGGGTTTCATAAAGACAGTGCCGTAGTTATCTGTTTTTCCTTATTAGGTTCATTTTTAGGTTCAAAAAAATGTATATTCTGAGATTATTAGAATGAGATCAGACAACCACAACAGCCATGTCAGCTGATGGTCCAAACTGGTGAAGCACAAGTCAGGTGTTCATTCTGTGTTTGGGTTTATTCCAATCTATCTACGAGACTTTAAGTAAAGCTGACATCTACTTTAGAAGTCAGAATAACGTCACACCCAACTTACCCATATTTCAGCTTCAACTCGAAAAACCTGTAGGATTTGCTAATTGTTGTGCAAACYATAACGATTATAARGCAAGATCAATGTTCYGATGATAACGATGTGCTTTTCTGTGCATTCAAACSCTGCTCCTTCAAGTTCTCTAATCGAGGTTGTGCAGCTGATTTAACGAGATACAAACCAACAAAAGACAAAATAAAAAGTTAAGTATTGCAGCAATCACAGCTTTTCATGCACAGTACAGCCATGATGGATTTTGAGGTAAGGGTTCGAGAGGACTCCATTTTTTTTCAAGCCACATTTCAGATTTGGGATGGAAAAGTACGATGTCTTTCAACTCAAGACATAAAACAATTGAAGTTAGTGGCAGGATAATGTCGGTCGGTAAGTAAAGGAATAAAGAAACACCTGGACTAGCATTGGCACTTTTCAAGCTGCTTGAGGTTTTGCAACTCTGCAGTCCTTTTACACAAATACACACATACTAAGGTCAGCTGAACACTCAAAGTTGGCCTCTTTACATTGTACTGCTGACATCTAAAAATACAGAATATACAGGTCTTGAGATGAAGAATTGTATATTTCATGAGCGTGTGTGTGTGGTTTGTATTGATGGACACAGACACCTGGGCTTCTGGCTCAGGTTCAGAGTGCAGCTGCTCCCTCACTTGAGAAGGCAGCAGTTAAAGTTGCTGCGCTCAGACCTTTGGTTTGGTTAGYGGCGGACAGAAACCCTAAACCTGCCTCGTCCTCCCCGCCTCACATCAATACAGGGAAGGACGCAGGAAAACATGCACTTGTTCTTGCAACACATTTTGGCGTGCGTCACAATTACCGGGGGTTTAGCGCAGTAGCTTAGTTGCAGAGATGACTTCTGGACCTGCAGGTTCTGCATGTTTAACATTACTTTGTGTAGATATTACTCAAACAGAATTCATGGCGAGCCATTTGTTCAGCTTCTTGTGTTGGGCTGTCCACATTTCCTAGGCTTTACGTGGTTGGCCTAACGGTTCGTGTGCTGTTTAAAGTGCTTTGGCAGAGAGCAGCAGCAGAACTGTTTTAGTATGCTATCACATTTCAAAGCTTTAGCCAACCTTTCTGAATACATCATACTACACGCACCTTTGAAGCAACATTACAGGTGATCCAGTGCCTTGCATTTATTCTCAGAAGGCTGTGCACGATTTTGGTTATAATGCGCCAAAGTTTATCAACAGCTGCTGATATACAGGCTYTGTTACTTTGCACCATCTCAGTTTTATTCTTTCCAGGGCTATTTGGGGGCTGAGAGACTTTCTGTCCTTACATCACTCACATGGCACAGCTGATGCAAAGCCATAAATATCACTCTGAGAAATAGAAAACCAAACCTGCAAGTATGTGATTTCTCCCCTGTGCCCCCCCCCATAATGACTGCAGTGGAGCACCATACACTAACTAACCTTAAAACACTGCCCACAACACACAATGTATCTGATGAGAAGAAAAGCCTCCATGGCTAATCTATCAGAACAAACTGAATTATTAAAAAAAACTCTAACAAGGCTGCATTTCTCACGGTTTGTGTGAGAGAGAGAGTTCCAGAAATGAAGCAATAGATGGCATTCAAGTCTGAGAAAAACACAGAGAAAGAGAAACTTAAGCCTGTGACACAGCCAGCTGTGAACCAGAGAGGTTTTAGACATTTTTCTCCTTGCTTATTGGTGTGACGTCATTTCTAAAGTTCTCCTGAACTCTGATGTCAGTGGTGAGGCATGTGTTTGTTGATAGAAACCAGGTGGTGTAATTGTAGCATAATGATGTGCAATGGTAAGAGGTTTGTGCCAGATATTTGTTAGAATTTCTCAATTTGGAAACAACAGATCCGACTGAACCAGAATCGTCACCAATAGTTTCTGTCTGTTCTCTAAAAACAGAAAGCTAGAGCAGGAACTCAGCTGGACACCAGTGGGCTTTTTTTTAGATGTTTTAAAGATGATTAAAGACTGAATGTATTAAACCTAATCTCCAAATTAAAGGTACTTCAGCCCAAATCAGAGTCCCAATGAAAGATAATTTTAATAATCAGTATGAGGTTCACTGAGTACACCTCAATGTTTGATCCCCCATAATTAACAAGCCAACATAAAAACACAAAGATATTTCTAAACCACTGAAGCTACTTCTTTTTTATTATGTCACTGATGATATACACTCAGAACACAATTTTCTTGCARAACATATTAATAAGAAAACTCCTGCATTAATCAAAAAGATGCAGAGATTAATAGAAACTTCATTCACCATTTAMAGCTGTAATAACATTAATCTGGACTGTGAAAACCTTAGGACTAAATGTTTTAGGAGACGTACTTCAATAAAGACTAAATGTGAATCTTTATCTGGTTTATGGAAAATGTGATGCAAAATAGCTGTAGTCTCTTTAAATCCCAAGAAACACTAAATTCTCTATGCTGATCAAAATGCCTGCAGAGCTGTAAACAACTGATGTTGAACCAACCCAGTCTCATTATCGTGGCATAAAATCTGACCTCCTGTCAGAGTTTGAAAGCTGGAAGTATTGTACAAGGTGTCCTTGATGAAACGCCATGTAATATCTCCCACCAGGAACAAAAWCGCCGCCTTATTAATGAGCAACAAAGTCCCAGAGGTGAGTGGGGATCACAGTTTGCGTTCATTGCAAATGCTGTGTGACAGTTTCCCACTGTTTCTATTTTATGTTTAAAAAGTAAAGAAAAGCAGCTGGGTCCAATGTAGAACAGCGATATTAAATCAAAAGTCGGGAATCTTTTTTTCAGGTGATGAATGAAAACATATCCCGCTAAGCCGCCAAAATTTATTTTTCCATTTCCATTCGCAGTGAGTTAAAAGTAACGGTCATCACTCCTCTGATCTCACCGGGAGACTATTCCTCCGAGAGCGCAGAGGTTCATCTTTTGGATATGAAAAGTGAGCGTGGAAGAGACAGACGCAGAGGGGAMACAAAGAGGATTGACTGTTGGCAGAGGTGGGGTGGATATGAGAAAAATCTCTGGAATGCTGAGAAAGCACGGCTCCCTGAGCTTGCAGAGAGGGACAGGGGAAACAAGCATTTGTGGAGCTCAGAAACCAACTAAACTCAGAGAAAAAAACAAGCTGGGGAGAGACAACTTTCCTAATCAATGCAAAGTTCATCAGAAAACCTTCTTGCAGTCCATCAAACAGAAGGCAAACGATGAAATATAAAGTTATTCTTGGCGTTACGATCTACCGTCTTTCACGTCCAGTTTCAAACAGAGCTAATCATAATCTAATCTCCACTGAAGAAAAAAAATGTATTGAACTTTCAGAAGTTATTGCTTGCTATCTCTCTGTCTCACTGAGATACTAAAAGCCTTTTCTTCTGTCACTCCACATGTTCTTCATTTTGTAATGGCTTTTAACTTACTGTCTGCGTGGAGATTCTTATCTCATCAGCCACAAGGCACAAAGGGATAATAGACCACCCACTAAAATTCATCTATTGTAAGCCTTATAAGTATAGACCAGACTTTTCTTCTTGTTACTAAGGAATACTGCATAACTGAGGCTTATTTCTTCTTGTTRGGCTTTTTCTATCCTRCYTCCYTTTGTCCYTTTTCTGCCGCTTATCCAMGGTCGGMTCGCGGGGGCAGCAGCCTAAGCAGAGAGACCCAGACTTCCRTCTACCCAGACACTTGGGCCAGCTCATCRGGGGGAATCCCAAGGCGTTCCCAGGCCAGCCGAGAAACATAGTCCCTCCAGCGTGTCCTGGGTCTTCCTCTGGGCCTCCTCCCAGTGGGACARGCCCAGAACCCCTCACCAGGGAGGCATCCAGGAGGCATCCTWACCAGATGAACCACCTCAACTGGCTCCTCTCGACGTGGAGGAGCGGCTGCTCTACTCTGAGTCCCTCCTGGATGACTGAGCTTCTCACCCTATCTCTAAGGGAGAGCCCAGACACCCCGCAGAGGAAACTCATTTCGGCCGCTTGTATCCACGATCTTGTTCTTTCGGTCATTACCCAAAGTTCGTGACCATAGATGAGGATAGGAACGTAGACCGACTGGTAAACTGAGAGCTTTGCCTTCTGGCTCAGCTCTTGCTTCAGCACAACATTTTTCTATCCTCTGCAACGATGGGAATTCACTGTCCTTTCTTTTTTGACAATCATGATGCAAACCAAGAATGAAATATTTTTAACTCCTGTCTCTGACTGAAGTGGGGGAAAAATAAATGTATAAAGTTTTCTCTTTGTTTTGTTTTCTATTTTCAAAGATTGGGYGCAATTTATAATAGTTAGATGACAGTAGAAAATTTAAACCAACAATCCGTCAGTGAAGAAAATATTCAAGTGTCTGGAGACAAACGAACTTCCTACATTTGTAGTTTTGGAGTATAACCTTGTCTACAAGACAGATTCATTGGTATTCACCCTGAAGTGCGAGCTTGCCTGTCCAGAATGAAATTTATTTAAGCCAGCATCGCTTTGCCCGCCTTCTAAATATTCCTGTTTCCCACATGGGGGCAATTCATCAAATAATGTTTGTAAAACGATTTGGTCTTTTGTAGACAAAGGAAGATCTTGGTTGTCACAAACCCAAAAGGAGAAGCGTTGTGCTTCTGACTGAGACGTCTTCCAGAGAGCAGAGCAAATGTAAGACATGTACTGACACGGACGGTGATAACTGCTGCCATCGCCACAGGATTACATCAGCTAAACACACACACCATGATGAGACGCTACTTGCAACAGACTGAAGACGCTGTGTGCCAGATTAATCAAAGAAACACGTAATGCAGTATTTGACAGCTGGGATTTGTTTCTGTTCTGACTGGAGAAAAGAGGGCTTCACCATGTAGGGTCTAAAACCAATTTCTATCTTGGTTAAAGGTAACTGAATAAAACTGATACTGTCTTCCATCTGAATGTCAGTGAAAACCTCACAAATAAAAATGATTTGTTGATGAAATGGCAGGCTGCAATGAAGGAATTATTTTACGTGTGCGACTGTGCACTCAGGTGTGGCTCCGAGTTTGAGCACTGCACTTATAAGGCCTGGAAAAAAGTCATCTGCTAAACAGCAACCGTAGTTTATAAAAGTGCATTCTGTGGAGGAAGAGGTGACTAACAGAAAAAGGGGGAAGTGTTTTTGGACAAAAGAAGGCGTCTAGTGTTTGGTGTAAACATGTCAGGACTGGCCGCTTGTGGTTTGGGATATGCAACGTAAGAAGATGGTGTAACATAAAAATACATCATAGTTTGCAGACGATGCTCGTATTCTGRAGGGTTCACTGCCTGGTCACCAAGCTGGTCATCGACAGTCAAATTTGCGTTAATCCACCAAACTTTCAAACGCATATCGTCAAGAGATTTACAAAGTCGACGAACACAATTTCTGCCAGAGCTGATAATATCTTGATTCTTACCCTGGACACGGTGAGGGGCATGCTGAAGTCCTTTCCTCCCTGCAGCCTGAAGCCCCACGGCGCTGGGCCGCTGAGGGTAACACTGTACATGTTCATAGCCTTGAGGAAGAAAGAGGAAGAGAGGAAAATGTCGAAATTTAAAAGAAAACCAGGAAAAAGGTTTCTGAAACCATTCATTCATTCCTTCCTGCTTTGTCCGAGCATCTCCGCTGCAGATTGTGTGGCTTTGTTTCCAACATTCAAAACAAAAAGCATTCAGTTCGTTTTTTAAGAGTATAAACAGTCTGAAAACTGGGGAAAGAAACCTGCTATTGCATGTCTTTACAAATTTCTTTCATTGGATTAGGTTTAATCCTAATTTCCAACAGAACGGGAAGAGCAGACCTAASCTGGGAAAAAAGAAAAGGATCCAACACCACCTTTGGTTAAATGGTCATGCAAATCTTTCCACAGAACATTTATCAACATATTTAAATGTCCCTCTGGCTTCATCGTTACAGGAAAGCCTTTAAAAAGATACAACCCTTAAATCAACGGCATCACAAAGCAGCTGCATGAAAACAGACAACTTGTAAATTCAAAACATTTTTTTGGTTTTCCTAATAAATTTTATGCAGTTTGTGCTACTTTTAAAACARTGCATGAAAACGTTTCTGAAGATTCGACTTCTGACATAAAATGACGAGTCTCTTCATGAGGTCAGCTTAAAAACCTAAAGTCTGCCTTCTGAGTTGAGCTATTTCCGTGGCTGTCACCGTGACCTGACCTCTGACCCCCCTATACGTGCACCCCCCCTACTTCAAGTCGTCGCCCCTCCACGTCCTGCCCTTCCTCAACCGTACCAGGTGCCATTGTTCTTTACCACCTACCTTATCCTCGAGGGCCGGCCCGTAGCCCAAACCTGGGAGAAAGCTAGAGAGTCAGTGAGCTGGCGCAAGCAGTTTCTCCTGCTGCTGGCAAACTTTAACACCCCCCTCCCCTCCTCTTCTGATGCTGCGTGTGACACAGGCAAGCCTTTAGCCTCTCCTCAAACCCAAGAGGCTATATAAGGAATGTAAAACTACACCAAACTATTTCAGCCCAACACCCACATGAGTCACAGGGGAGAAGGGAAGAGGAGGGGAGCTGTAGGAGGACGGAGAGAGGAGTAACGTCAACTACACCGAAATTCTGGCAAAGGCCCACAAACTTTAGACTCTGCGGGCTTTTTTTTTTTCCTTTTTTTTTTTGAGTGAACCCCAGAACCAGCAGGCACAGCTGACGTAAAGCATCTGAAAGTTTAGACTCTTTCTAGACGGATGCAACAAACCAAACCAGCAATTATGTTTTGAACATTTTATTTCTTAAAATGAAAGGCCTCGTGCTTCTTGAAGAAATGTTTATCGCCCACTGCTTTTCAGAGTTTCAAACTAAAATCAGCTTGTGTTGAGAAATGACAGACGAGTGGACGTTTTGATGGAAGCTTGAAAACAAAAACGTTCTGCACGTTATCAAGCTCAGAGTACATGTTGTGAATGACACTTATCTACTACCACATCAAAATTTAGCACAATATTTGTGGAACTGACACTKAATAATTGATATTTGGGGGTTTCGATAAAATATGTACAGTAATTTATTAGATATTTTGCTAACAGATAGAGCTAAAGCAGGGGTAGACATAAGGAAATTTTTCAGGTTGTCCAGCGGACAACCTGTTGACAAAACCTGGTTGTCCGCAAAACATTCTGGTTGTCCAAAAGAATCAAGAAAAATGTAATTTAACAAGTATTGTTCTGTAGACGATGTTTATTATATATAATTGTTCTCAGTCAGCCAGGTTGACAGGAGCTGCATGAATAAAATTTCATCATTCTCTTCTTTAGAGTTCAACATTCATAAGCTTCTTTCTGCTCATAGGTCAAACATTTTCACCTAAATAAGTGTATACTGTGTACATYACCTTATTAAAAGTTACAGTTTAGTGTTCAGTTCTGTTTTACCAAGGTTTTTCACCCGTTCATTTTTACAATGACGAACACCCGCGGCAGAGAACTTTAATCAAGGTCTTTCTTGATTGGTTGTCCACCGGACAACCAAGGGACAGGATCTGGTTGTCCGAAACGAGAATAGGTTGTCTCGAACAACCTAAACAATGGTTATGTCTACCCCTGTAAAGTTTTAAGCAAAGCTTTTGTGTAACGGGTAACACTTGAACTATGTGTTGTGAATAATTCTCAGCTACAAATACACCAAATTTTAAGACAGTAGCTGTAAAAAATGACTGAATCACAGTCATTTCAGTGTTATCCAAGTCTTCTGTTGTTGACATATTTTAATTAATTTGTAAATGAAAAATGTTTGTGCGCTGCTATATAGATGTAAACCCCTCTAACTACAATGAACTGCTCTGGAAGCAGGAGGGGGGCGGYGCATGAAGTGCCTGATTTGGATTTAAAGGAACAGAGTCAAAATGAGTTGATRTGAGACACTTCAGAACAGAGGTGAAAGAGGGGCTTGTGGAGTTACAATAAGGAGACCAAAGCTTTGAGGCTTGACTTTTCATAGACCCCAACTGAATGAATTTAATATCCACTATAAAGTCAGTCATCTAGATGGCCATTTTGAAATTAGTTGACTCCAAATGTTAATRAGTTGTGGAGAGATGTCCAACTATTATTTCCTGAAAGTTTCATTAAAATCCAAAGGTGGTTTATGACCCAATCTGCTAACAGATTTGACTCCAAATAGTCAATGAAAAAATGTTAAGTTACTATTCTGCTCAGTCTGTTAGTGTTCAGAATATATGGACAAATCTCAGATATGAACAACACACCAAACTTTACAWTAATATGTGCAAAACTGACTGCGGAGAGCAGTTATTGTGTTGGCAAATATTTATTGGATTAACATCCATGATTACCTGCTCAATAAACAAATCCAGCAGAAAGAAAAAATAATCAATAAAGTTCTCATAGGAATCAACAAATTAGAGTTTAAATCACTGGTATTTTATATCAATATAAATAACCTAGAAGCTGTGGCAATTAATTGTCTATACAAAGATACAGAAACCCAAAACAGCAACTGCTAACACTTGTCATTACAGCACAGTGCATACTGATTATTAGGTCGTTTTAACCTGGTTATATGAACCTGGTGATAATTAAATGTCCTTTAAAGCAGTGTTTCCCAAAGTTGGGGTCGGGACCCAAAGTGGGGTCCCGAAACATCAAGGTGGGGTCCTGAAAAGATTTTCTGAATTAATTACATTTTTGCCTTAGTTGTTACAAAGGAGTGAGGTTAGTGTGTTTAGTTGACCTGATACAAATGTTTATCATCCAAAAATAGTTGGGGGCACAGGTCTCTGCTACTGTTATTTTGTGGGTCAAAAGCTGAAAAGTTTGGGAACCACTGCACTTTGGTTCCCAAAGTTGGGCTTGGGACCCAATTATGGGTCATGAAGCACCTTGGATAATCTCCAGAAATCAATTTAAAGCGTAATAAAATAATTGCTGATGTAATATTTTCCCCATAATTATTACAAAATAAGTATAAATAAGTATTTATATTTGTGTACAAGCTGTTTATTGTACACAAATATAAATACTTTTTTATATTTGTGTACAAGCTGTTTAGATTGTCAAAAAGCCTGTGTTTTTAGGGTTATTAACGAAGTTCATGTACTCAGACCAGTAATATTTGGGGTCACAAGTTTTTGCCATGAATATTTTGTGGGTCYGAAGATAAAAAGTTTGGGAACCACTGCTTTAGAGGACTTGAAGCAAATTACCCAAATCCTGTTAATTTATCATCATAATGTTCCATTATCTTTATAGAAACGTGTGTTTTGTTGTTCAAATTAATGTAAATTATCTAAGAGGACTCACGTGGAGTTAAGAGCGCAAATGGCTGACTTTTAAAAGCTTTTTAAGACGAGTGATAATTAACCATCATGCTGTGAGTCCAGAGAGGTGTAGACTTAGGAACTTCAGATAAAACTATAAAACTCCTCCTGTTTGCAAAACTGCAGCCAGTTACAACTCACGAGAGCCCGACTAAACTATAATAAAAACAGTAAWGGCACCAAAGACGCCGCGTACTAAAGCTGCGAAAATAAAACAAGTTGTTTCTTCYGGAGACAGACAGGAATGCTGTTTGAAAGTTTTAGCTTACCTCTTGTCCCTCCTTCTGTCCGCCAGACATCACGAGCCAAGTTACCAAACGATTAAAAAAATAAAGTTACTTTGTTGGGAAGCTTTTTAAACTTCTTAAAAGTTTGAGTGGAGACGACGCACAGAGCACCGTATATACCATGAGCTGCGGAGCAACAAACTCGCTCCTTGAAATTCTTCTCCGCGAGACWCGTCGCAGGCGTCGCGAGTCACGTGACCCGGAAATCAGGGGCAGGGCGAGAAGTCTCCTAGACGAACCGATGCAGAACACCGCTGACGGTCAAATATCGCTCAGTTATAAACCAACATAAAAAGGTGTTTTTAATTTACCTGTTAGTTTTGAAAAGGCTGATCAGGTTCAGCCTGTTGTGATGAATGAACAATAAGGTGGGCGTGAAAACGTGGTTGAAATGATCATAATATTATAATAGCGTTCACAACAAAATAATAAAATACTACAAAATGATTATGACGCTGAAGTTGTTTATATTAAAAATAGCACTACTCTACGAAGGCTATGTGTAGTAAACTAGTTATAAACTCGGTTATTTTCTATTTACTTCAATATAATAATGCAAATTTTAAATTATTGATGCCTCCCATATACTTGCAGAATATTATTCTGTATATTACAGTTTTTAAAGCACATGTTTGCATTACATTTTGCACAATAATACATGGTATGCTTTGATAGTGCTATTGTTCATGTCATGTTCAAGGGTGTGCTTCATGTACATGTATGTTTTAAGACTATAAATGTTTAATGGTACATTTAAAGGGTTAAAATTATTATAAACATATGTCACAACTGCCAGCATAATAAGGTTTTACAATATGACATAAATAAAGATTAAACATATTTACAATATGTTTAGACTCTAAAGTGGGTATTAAAAGCAGGGAACGTCACTGAAATATGTATTATGAATTGTGAACAGTCTCCTAAGAGTATTTTTCTTTTCTGTTTTTTCATGTTTGTTTTAATTTTTGAACTCATAGAGAAAATGGTAATATACAATATTGTGTATAACTAAGTCTTTAGACATGTGAAGTGTAGTTAAAAACCTATAAAACTTTGTAATGTCTGAAGGCTCAAACCAACAGTTAATGTTTAACTACATTATGTTAGTATTTATACTCAAGTATACTTACTGAGCAGTGGATATGGTCTTTTAAAGGATTAAATGTACATTTATGCACTTGGATTTGAAAATCATTGTTCTTCTTTGATTTRCCATTACTAAACAGGTTAAACATAAGTGTCTTCTTTTAATCTGTCCTGATGCATCTCAGTAATACAGGTAAAAAATCAAAAAGAAAAAAATTGTYTAVGTCTTCTGGACGGGTTCTTCTCTAATGAAACGTTTCGTCTCTCCTCCAAGAGACTTCTTCAGTCTGAGAGTTTCAGGCAAAATTCAGGCTTTTAAGCCCTGCCTCCATGTGACTGATACTCACATCACATGGCTATCGTTGACACCTAATTAGCACCTATTGTTAACAGGGGATGGAGTGATGCTGGCAATAGCAGCACCGTAGGGGGGGGACAACTGAAAACGGAGGCCTCCACCTCTGTTTAATGATGGACGGTGTTTTTTTTTCACAAAAATGGCTTCTTTTACTCCTCTCTCAAAGGAACGTTCCTCTCTATCAAGAATGAGAACATCCTCATCTCGGTCACTCTTTCAGAGATGAGGATGTTCTCATTCTTGATAGAGAGGAACGTTGGTTTGAGAGACAAGTAAAAGAAGCCATTTTTGTGAAGAAAGACCGTCCATCATTAAACAGAGGTGGAGYCCTCCGTTTTCAGTTGTCTCCCTCCTACAGTGCTGCTATTTATCACTCCACCCCCTGTTAACAATAGGTGTTAATTAGGTGTCAACGATAGCCATGTGATGTGAGTATCAGTCACATGGAGGCAGGGCTTAAAAGCCTGAATTTTGCCTGAAACTCTCAGACTGAAGAAGTCTCTTGGAGGAGAGACGAAAGGTTTCATTAGAGAAGAACCCGTCCAGAAGACATATAAAAAAAAAATATTTTTGCTTCTTTTAATCGTTTCATGCTAGATTCAAGATGGGCCTGCACCTGTAAAATACTGTATGTAGAGTACTAAAGGCAAAAACCACCACTTTGAGGTTAAATTTATAGTTCATATCCCCACAATGTATTTTATACCGTGACTTGTGTGTAGTTCCAAATCTGGACAGCAGATGGCGCCAAACTCCAACAAAACGCGAGCTGTAGCCTCAGGGTGCTGCCCTTGTTCCATCATATGAACAAGTGGATAAATCATGAATCACCAGTGAGGGCCTTAAAACTGAAGCCTCTATTATTTATAGCAAACGGCCTAATTTGCTCGTTCAGCTGTCCGTCGTCATTTATTTAAAAAAAAGGCAAGAAAATCTAATTTAACGCGTTATTTCTTTATTTTTTTTGTAACGTGGTTTCCCTATTGTAGGTTTTAAGGACACTCTCTGCTACCCCTCCAACCAGCTTTAAAACTTGTACTTTCTTGTGTGGGATGATGGCCAACAACGGAGTACACCAGGCCGAAGAGGACCCGGCCGCAGCTTTCCTGGCCCAGCAGGAGAATGAGATAGCCGGGATTGAGAACGACGAAGACGGGTTCGGAGCGCTGGAAGGAGCGGACGACCTGCAGCCTTCTCACCCGCACACGGTCAACTATGGTAAGTTTGGGACTCGGCTAACGTCAAGCTACAGCTAACAGGCTAACTAGCTAACACGTACCCACCGCTACTCCTACGAAATGGTTTAATTTGGCGGAAAATACTCGACTGACATACGTTAGGGGAAAAAGGTCGGCATAAGCTGAAAACATCTGGATTATGAATACAGTAGGTTCACAATGGCGACATTGCTCTTTTATTTATTAAAAACTGGTGCTAGCTTTAGCTTAGCTGACGTTAGCGTGTTAGGCTCGTTATGTTAGTTTTCCTGTCAAGATATGTCAAACCAGAAAGTATTTCACTGACACTGATAACATCTCAGATATATGCATTAACACGATGTAGCTGATATTACACCAGTTTAACATTAAATTCTGCAACTCATGATGTGGCCTGGATTGAAAATAATTCAGGGTGAATTTTCTGACGTTTTCATTAAGGTCTCACATTCACTACTGTCTACATGTTTCTACAGATGACACCAAGGAGTGTCTTTGGTAAAGTTTCTTGGAACATAGTCTGAGTCAGCGAAGGTTAAAAACTCTTAATATAGCAGCACAAGCAATATGTTMTCAAATGTCAACAGAAGTTAGTTTTACACTTGAAAATCCTGTCCTGCACAGACAGTAGTACCCAAACAGGTGCAGCTGCATTTCTGAGGAGTCGCTTCAAGCAGCAAGTCAAGTCAAATGAATAGAAACAGTCGCGTTTTAACAGATTGTGAGGAAGGTTGACTGGAAAGCTCCAACTTTACGTTTACCTTTCTGTCTTTATTTATAATGTTTGACGACTTTGAAGAAGAAGAGTCCGCCACCATGAATGGAGACTTATTTCAGGTGAGTTRAACTCTGTCTTTCATATTTAAAACCCTCTCGTCTGTATAAATGTTAGGTTAATTTTGTCTTAAATGTTCTGTTTTGTTGTAAACCAGACTAAGATCATGAAAAGTGGTTGGTTTACAGCCGAGCTCCTGCTGTTTACAATGAAGTTTCTGTTTTCTTTTAAAGGAGTCTAATGGGCCGACGGATAGCTATGCAGCCATCGCCCAGGTGGATATTCAGAGGCAAGAGCCGGAAAGTTTACGCAAGTGGAGGGAGGAGCAGAAGACGCGCCTTGAAGCATTAGGTATTGTGAATTCCTGTGTTTTGTGTTTAGCCATTTTGGTGGGAACTCTTATAATTACGTGRCGTTTTCTGTTGTTGCACCAAAAARAAGACTCGGCTTCCAAGGCTGCAGAGGCGCAGTGGAGGGAGAAAGCCAAGAAGGAGCTGGAGGARTGGCATGTGCACCAGAACGAGGCCATGGAGAAGAACAAGGCCAACAACAGGTGAGACACGGACATGTTTCACGTTAACATGCAAASAAGTTATTCTGTTTCATAACTTTTAAAGCGATAAAGCTCATTTTAAGTAGGGTTTTGTCTAAATAGCTCTTTAAACATCCTCAATTTGGAGGAACAGTTTAGTCTGACTGAAATGGCAAGCTAACGGCTAATCTGAGTGGGGCAAACAAACAGTAGATTTTTTTTTTTACATTTTAGAAGCAATTCAGAATCCTTCCAGTCTGCATAGCGATGCATCTAAAAGTAGATTATCAGCCCCAATATGGTGGTAAAATAACTGCTAATTTGTGCACACAAATATCCACAGCAGCACCTAGCAGTAACACTTCCAGTGCAGCAGTGGGCTCTTGCAGCAGAAGCCAAACTAAGTCTGTAAAATCTACTTTGGTTTTGTCTTCATTCAAACTAGCCACTAGCTCATCAATCCAGACAGAATTAGTCTTATCTAAAATAAGCTGTGCAAAGAGCCATCTTTAACAGGTAAGCTATTCATTGTTTGTATTCTTTTCACAGAACTTTAAAAAGTCTGAACTTCCCCTTTTTCTTAACATAAAATTCAATAGTATTCAGTTTTGTTTTTTATTTTACTCCAGTGTTGTATTCACAGACACTATCAGGTCAGACAAAATTAGTGAGATCACAAACACATTGTGAATGTTTTGTTTTTCCACAAAGACTCAAAGCATTTATGCCAGGGGCWGTTCCAGGGGCGGGGCCACAGGGCCATTGGCCCCAGCTGAAATCTGAWTGGCCCCCTGAGGWGCCCCTGTCCTGTCACTCATCTGTTCTTTACCTGAGAGTGATGATGGTGGATGCAGTTCCATGTTCAAACACTAGAGGCGCTAATGAGTCAAATAGTAAAGTCCAGAATAGTGGAGATTTAACACTACAGAATCAAGATTACAGAATTCTTCTCTTCTTAAGAAAATTGGAACAATCCTGCGCTGCAGAAGAAATCTTTAAACTGACAAATGATGGCTGGATTTTCTCACGTGTGTTGGAGAATATTTTATCTATGTACAGTAACATGTTTGAAAAACTGCTAAGGACAATTTACTGTGCAAGCTTTTTTTGGTACCACTTTACGCTCCCTATAGGTTATTAATTCATCTGTAAACACTTTATAAATCATTAATAAATGTTTATTATGCAATAATTAAGGATGAGAAAGAGACAAAACTGCCCAGTTTCTTACCATGTAATGAGACAAATCTGTTCACTTACATATTACATCTAAAGGTGCTTATTAAACATTTTACACTAGGTTACTACATTGTAAGAACAATAACGATAACAAACACATGTTTTAACATATTAATATTGTACTGTATTACTGCATTATAAATATTCACCACTGTCAAAGGGAGACTTATCGTAAAGTGTAATACAGTACACTAATGACAAATAAACATTTATAAATGCCAAAAGTTAGACTTTAATGTAAAATATCTTCATTTTTAAAACTTAGTGTTGATTATCAATATTTTAAACTATTTCTCAAACATGTAACTACTGTCAACGATGATGATGTATGAAAAAGTAACAAAAAAAATAAAAACACACCAAAGAATCCCACCCCATCCAAAATAGTGTACAGTTTTACTCTTTACAATAAAGATCCCTTTTAATATTTGTGAATATTTATAATGCATTAATACAGTACAGTCTTATATGCTAAAATATGTTTCCTAATCATTATTGTGCTCACAAGATAGAAAACTTGGCCCTTCTATGAAAATTGTGGCCACAAGATGGCCCCTTACTCAGAAAAATCCTAGATCTGCCACTAATTTATGCTAAAATGACCAGATCAAGGTAACCACATTAGCTCATAACTTGAAAGATGATCATCCAGTGTTTATTTGACTTGTTTTTCATCATGTGTAKAAATGTGCCTCAGCCTCTCCCTTTATTCTCCACCGAGCTAACCGGCTCTTCTTTCACACTCCCCAACAGACTCTGTCCAAGCCTGGCACGGTATCACTCTGCATCTGCAGCTTTGGTGTTTTCTTTGTTTTTCAGAGCACTGACAACTAATCCTCTGATGAGATTATTAATCTGGACGTGGGAGTTTAGGGTCAGATGCCTGAGGAAAATGGAGACGGGGAGCTTGCTAGACCGAATCCAAAACAAATTTCATCCAAACTGTGTCTCAGCACTAGAATATGTCCGATGGGCCTGCGTGGTTCCAGCTGAGTTAGAGAACAGGACTTCACCTCRGCCTCATCACAGCTGTCTCTCCTAAAAGACTAACCTTGCACTGCTTGATGTTTGACGCTGAAACTGTTCTCTTTTTTTTTCTGCTTTCTTGCCTTGGAACTAGGATTGCTGACAAGGCTTTCTACAAACAGCCCAACTCTGATGTTATAGGCTTTGTGTACGTTTTAGAGTTCTTGTACAGTTTTTATTCTTACCCTTTTCATAATTCAGCACTTCCTCTTAATGCATGCCTCCCCCAACCTAAACATTTTGCTGTTGAGAGTCTGATTTATTATGATTGCTGCGTGTTTCTAAAGTTACCTTACKAAATCTAAAATGTGTTTCAAATATATGCATGAATGTACTTTTGTATTTCACGTACAGGTGCATTTTGTGCTTGAGCATCTTGTTTTTCTGCCTCCAAACCTCTTAAGATACCCTGACTCCAGTTTTCTTACTCCTCCCCCCCGCCTGCAGAGCGTCTGAGGAGGCGTTCCTGGCGGAAACGGACGGCGACAGCGCCGGGACCGAATGGGAACGAGTAGCTCGCCTCTGTGACTTCAATCCAAAGACCAGCAAGCAGGCGAAGGATGTCTCTCGAATGCGCTCGGTCCTCATCTCTCTAAAACAGACGCCTCTAGCTCGCTAGACACTTCGCTCCGAAGGAGTTTTCCTCTTGTAACATTGCCTTTTTTTTTTTTTTTTTACACATTGCATCAGATTTGTATGCCCTTTGCCGTGAAGTTTCTGGTATGTAAAACCTTTTTAGAAATTAATTTCCTTTATGGATTCCAGTTTATTAAGGTTATGTACCTAACCCGATGCTCCTGTAAGAAAACTGGTTTCCTGTTACATCCTTTAGCTGCGTAGCTGTATTACCACTTATATACTGAAGAAAATATTGTTACTTTAGTTAAATATTTTAACTTGTAAATTTTTATTTTATTTTAACATTAATGTATACCAATATTTTTAATTGCCAAGTTTCTATTTGTTTTATAAATCACCATTTAGATCCAACACTACCTGCAGATTGTATCTAAAACCATGTTCATCTTTAGTGTGTGATTTCACTAATTCACAAACTTTAAGTAGCAACAGGTTTGTCTTTCATAAGCTTTGTGGCCTTTCTCACTTCACTTTGAGCATCAAGCCAGATGTTTGGGGTTTTTATTTTCAATTGGGTAAAATCTCAAAGACTTCGATTGTCTGAATTTGGAAACCAGAATTTACGTCATCATGCCCGTGCATTAACACATTTTAGAAATGTTTCTTTAGATTGCAGTGTCAGCGGTAATGTCTGCATATTGTTCACAAGTTGCCTCTTTTGGACATAATGAATAAAAACAATGAATGTTCCAAAGGGAGCTGGAAATTATTAATAATTTTAAAAAAACAGTGAAGTTTGATTAGAATTGAGAATTTACCTGTAATATTCCCTCCTGCTGAGCTTGTTGCCATTTAATAAACCCTGAAAAGAATCATTTGAATAAAATAACGTGTGGTCGTGTCTCTTTTACACCATGTCACGGTTTCAAATCACTGAGAACTGATCCCAGCCTTTTTAATGCTCCTTCAATTTACAGAGTTTCTCATGAAAACATTACATTAAGGAGTACGTTTGGCCTAAAGACAGAGGAGTAAGGTTGCATCTTAGACATGGCCTCAGGTTTATAGATGTTATACAAGATAAAGGTAACTCCAGTTTGTACATTTGAGTCAACAGTACTTTGRTGTTTAATGCAGCAAAACACTTAATCACCATGAGCAGTTCAAGCTTTTCAACCAGTAATGTATTTAAATTATGTTGAAAACAAAACACATGATGGATCATATTGTACTACAGCAGATCTGGTCTGATTCCAGGCTGAAGAGCTCGGACTTCACTGCTTGGCTTTGTAAGCTGAAACAAAAACACCGGCGATGATGGCTATAACGGTGAAGCCTTGAGCCAAGATACGGCCCCGCATCAACAGCTGGGACTGTCTGGTTTTTCCTTGATGGAAGGCACGGAGACCGAACATCAACATCCCTACTGTTCCCAAACAACCTGAGGAACAAAAAGACAAATCGTACAAACCATTAGATGTGCCGAACGGCAGACACTGGCTTGTCATTCAGACAGGGAGACAGAGGCCTAATGAAAGGTTAAAACACTGACTKTCCATCATATGAAAAATAAATCCATGAAAGGTACAGATATGACATCATGTGACAAACATCTGAAAGGAAAATTATGCATTTATTAGAGGTGAAAGAAGTCCAACCTCTAGAAGTTTTTAAGGAAATGATGAGGGCTGCAACATTGATCGTCACAACAGCCTGTGGAAAACATTTAAGACTGCTGCCAACCTTCCCAGAAAATCACCCCAAGGTCAGACTGTGTAATGCACAGAGAAATTGCAGACTAAAGAAGGTAGAAAGTGAAAGCCTCTTCTTTCTAAAAAAAAAAAAAAAAAGAACATGGCTGCTTGAATAAACCTGAAGACTAAATGAACAGTGTCTTGGAGGGATGAGACCAAAGTACAGATGTTTAACTGAACAGCTGGATAAACTAGGTGGACTTTATTTTCCTCTAACTGTAAAGGTGTATTTGTTGAAGGGGCAATCTTTTAATTTAGTTTCAAAATAGAATCAATATTTTTTTTAAAAATTGCCACCTTTATCTGAGCAGAAGCTAAAAGGTATTTGAGTTTTCGCTAACACTATCAAGCCTGTCCTTTTTAAATCAAGGGCATAAAAAATGTAAAGTCATGCTTACGAGCATCTTGGAAAATCCAGGTTTATTCCCCCACAATAAGCACTAAATATACTGCTTAACTTCCTAACAGCTAACATTAATAAGTGAATTTCAGTTAATTATTGTCCAAACTAGCAGCGGGAAACACAGCTAAGAAAATACACTTGAAAAAGAAACAGTTTCTCTGAAAACCGTGAGCTGTTTTTAGTCAGCTGCTGTCTTCGACACAAACCACTGAACTCTCATATTAAAGCATCAATAAATGTTTTTAAGTGCGTCAGAGAGGTGACCTCACTCTTGACTTGTGTAACTTCCATCATCTGCTGCAGCAGGGACTTCCGGTTTGTTTAACTCACCTATCGGGACGAATGGGTTCTCCTTGGATTTCCGAATAAATTTCTCCTTAAAACCCTCATCTTTGGGTCTCTCAGATGGCCTGAAGCCCTCGATGACAGGGGGCTGAGATATATCGAAAGGCACAGCTCCTGAGTCCGACAGCGAATGTTTGGACTGTCCAGGTGCCCCTGGTGGTGTCCCAGCAGCCATGTTGAAACGGGAGTCCACCTTCCGGTTGTACTTTTCAAAATAAAAGTTTGATTTCTTCTTGTCTGATGTCTATGGTCTGGAGTAAAATAAGTAAAAATTGTTTTGTTCGTTTACACTCCTGATCAAAATCTTAAGACCAGTCAAAAAAGTGCAAGAATTTGCATTTTGCACTATTGGATCTTAAGAAGGTTCTAAGTAGAGCTTCACAATGTTAAAAGAAGAAATCAGTGCAAGAGACAAGAACTTTTGAGCAGGGAATTTTCTGAAAACTGCATTTACACTCAAACATGATTTTTTTCAGCTGATCAAAAGTTTAAGACCATAGCTCAAAACAAACCTGAAAACCCCCCAAAAAAGAAGTGTCAAAAAAAGGACTCAGTAATGAGTAGCTCCACCATTCTTGTTGATGACTTCAAACAATGGTTTAGGCATGCTTGATGCCAGTGTTTCCAGGAGGCTAGTGGGAACGTTGCTCCAAGTGTTGAAGATGGCTTCACGAAGGGCATCCACTGTCTGGAACTGATGTCCATTTTTGTAAACTTCCCTTGCCATTCATCCCCAAATGTTCTCAGTTGGGTTTAGATCCGGGGAACATGCAGGATGGTCCAAAAGAGTGATGTTATTCTCTTGGAAGAACTCCTTTGTCAGGCGGGCATTGTGAACTGCAGCATTGTCCTGTTGAAAAACCCGATCATTACCACACAGACGAGGCCCTCAGTCATGAGGGATGCCTGCTGCAACATCTCCACATAGCCAGCTGCTGTTTGACGTCCCTGCACAACCTGAAGCTCCATTGTTCCATTGAAGGAAAACACACCCCAAATCATGATGGCGCCCCCACCACTGTGCCGTGTAGAAAACATCTCAGGTGGGATCTCCTTGTCATGCCAGTAACGTTGGAAGCCATCAGGACCATCAAGGTTAAATTTTTTCTCATCAGAGAAGACAACTTTCTTCCACCTTTCAATGTCCCATGTTTGGTGCACCCTTGCAAAGTCCAAACGGGCAATTTTGTGGCGTTGAAGAAGGCCTTTGAAGACGTTTTTTGTTTCTGAAACCCTTCTCTCACAGATGCCGTCTGATGGTTATTGGGCTGCAGTCAGCACCAGTAATGGCCTTAATTTGGGTAGAGGATCGTCCCGTGTCTTGACGGACAGCCAATCGGATCCTGCGGCTCAGAGCTGGTGAAATTTTTTTGGGTCTACCACTTGACTTTTTTGTTCCATAACCCTCAGGATCATTTAAAAAATGCAAAATGACTGTCTTACTGCGTCCAACTTCAGCAGCGATGGCACATTATGAGAGGCCTTGCTTATGTAGCTCAACAATCCTACCATGTTCAAAGTCAGTGAGCTTTTTTACTTTTGCCATCAGGTCTTGACAGTGTAAAGACTTGACAGAAAATGACATGGAATCCAGATTTTTGCACAGCTTTTGGCTTTTAAAGACTATGGTCTTAAACTTTTGATCAGCTGAAAAAAATCATGTTTGAGTTTAAATGCAGTTTTCAGACAATTCCCTACTCAAAAGATCTTGTCTCTTGCACAGATTTTTTCTTTTAACATTGTGAAGCTCTACTTACAACCTTCTTAAGATCCAATAGTGCAAAATGCAAATTCTTGCACTTTTTTGACTGGTCTTAAGATTTTGATCAGGAGTGTATAACTGACTCTTAAGTACAGTACTACTTGCAGTACAACAGTGTTCTTTACCTCACCGTTTCAATTTCTAATATTAAATGTTAAATCTTTGTTTAGTACTGAATGTGAACAACAGAATTAGGTAGGGTCTAGGACCCTTTGGCTAGAGCTACTTCCAGAATCTACAAACATTTCTTAAACACACAAATTATAGTATTTCTAGTCACATAGAGCGCAGCTGAGCTTAGCTTTAATGCACCTCTTTTGGAATTTGTAAAAAATAAAAATAAAATGGAAAAAAAACATTTGTAAAATAGATATTCATTTCAAACAAAACTATTTTGCAGCCCTCTAAACACTGGGGTCCTAGACTTCTGCCCTGGTAGGCTCCTTGGAAAGCCCAGCCCTAAGTGGTGAGAAGAAAATAAGTGCAGAGCATTAAAAATTACTTATTAGCTATTACCTTAAAATGTATTTGTTTTTGTCTTATTTCAGACCATAGGTGTAAATATGAACACTCAAACGAAAAAAAAAAGCTAGTATTTTGAGCAGGTGAAAGAAGTATGGTAGCTTTTATAAAAAAGGAAAAAAGTTTAGAAAGAAATGAAAAATATGTCAAGAGAAAAGATTCATAAAGGAACACTCATACTTTTCAATCTTTTTATTGAATATTAAGGTAAATATTTCACATTAATACAGGCTACATAAAGTAGAGCCACTATACGACATGAAATTTACTCTCATTAACCCTTTTTAGTATGTAAACAATTATACATGTATTTACCACTCTAAAAGGTTCTGATTTCTCTTTAGGTAATCATCATCATCATCATCATCTTTATCTAGTTCTGGGCCAAGTTTAAATAGCTACTTCATGTTGAGCCCCCCTTGCAGCCCAAGAACGATGTATGTGGGTTTAAGTCAAAAATCGCTAAACTACGCAGAGAATAGATCTTGTTGAACAGGTGAACGCGCATGTTTGTTTGCATCATCAGGACACAGAAATCAGCTCTAGTCCCCTCCCCTCCTTTTCTTGTCTGAGATAGGCACATCAAAGAATGGCGTCAGGGAACTTCTAATTATTCGACCTCTGCTCTCCACCTTTAGGTCGCTAAAGTTATCTTGTACTTTTTCTTTACTTTGTCTCATTCGGTCATATTCTTCAGTTGGTATTACTGTGGATCATGCTGTGTGTGTGTGTGTAAGTGCTGCAGACGCCGTCTAGTTGACGTGGTTCAGATGCACGTTGCCCACATGAGGTGCCCAGGTGCCAGGCCAAACCTGAAGGAAACACAGTACGTTCAATATTTTATCCGTTAAAAGGCTGCAGTTAACGCCTGTTAAAAGAAACATCTAACCTGCTGCTGTGGGTCAGAGCTATCTGCATTGTTTGGGACCACTTTGATGATTGAGCTCCATGCAGGGTCACCTGCYTGCAAACCATTGTACATCGGACCCCCCGGGCCTTCCGCCATCGGGGGGTGAGGTGTCAGCATGGTTCCTCCGTACATTGACATAGGCATCCCCTAAACAGACAGGAAACAGGTGGCGTGTTGGTACGACTTGAAAGAAACAGAGCAAAAACAACTCGGTTACGTGTTTCTGTTACCTTCTGGAAGTCCATGTAATTGTTGGGCAAATGCTGAGGCTGGTGGTAGTTGTTAGCAGGGTTTGCAATGCCAGTGTCGTCCTGCTCCATTGGCTGGTGCTGAGAGAAGGCTGACTGCTCTGCCTGCATGTGTGGGTGCATCATGTGGCTGCTCAGCAGCGGCTGGGACCAACCAGACATGGCCTCTGCTCCAAAATCAAACACTTACATTAACTGCTTTGTGGTTTAACTGCGTATTCTAAACTTGGAAAATAAATGTGCCCTTACCCGAGGCACTCCCGACTCCAAACGACCAAATTCCCCCCTGTCCAACGGGCGCCGTGTAGCTGGTTGTGAGCAGAGGAGGATTGACTGAACCCGTCTGCCTGATTCTGGCCAACCGCTCTGTGCCGATAGGTTGGGGAACCTTCCGGTCCTGCTGCGAGGAACTGCCTGGTTTGGCTTGAGGAGGAGGGGCCACAGCTGAGGTGGATAAGGCAGAGGAGGACACTGTGGGAGGCGGAGGGACAGGGGTTTCACCTGGTGAAAAAAAAAGTTTTTAAACCACACCAGAAGAAATTATTCAGCTGCGTAAAATTACAATATATGCTCCAAAGACACAAAAAATAAGCTTGGGATTGAAAATGTTAAATGGAATTTTTAATGTTAATTCTTAGGACCAGACATGAGTTGGTGTTTGATTACAGGGAATGACTATTAAAAAGTCACGGCGTAAAACCTCCAAATTTTCCCGTCTTACTGTTCCTATGGTTTAAACACGTAAAGATAACAAGACTGACTGCATTTATTGTTTCCCCCTCTGTGACCGGACTTGTTACTCTGAGTTGTGTACGGTAGCTAAAGAGTGAATTCTTGTTAATGTTTATGCTCATTCAAAAATATATATAAAAACACTCAGTTTTACGTTTTAGCTCCTGGATAACCCAGTCAGTCATGGCTCATCTACCASAGAACCATCACCTGTCTTTCTTTTAGAGGTAAGATTTGCAGTGTGAAATATACAGCCTCCTTCAATTTGCCACTTGTGCATCTGATAAGTAACTAAAACAGCTTTTTCCTTTTATTTATTAATGTTTTTCTTAAAGGGAAACATCTTTTTCTAAAGATACCAGACTGAACTGTTGACCAAATATAAAACAACTCTTAAAAAAGAAAACTTTTCCTCCCCAGGTGAACACAATATGCTTATTTGAAGAATTTCTTTGTGCCACTAAATAAGATGCTCATTGTGAATAATACCCATAATATCCTCTATAATTTGTTGAAAAATGTCCCATTTAAAAACTTCTGAGACTAAAGGAGTCTCGGTACTTGTGATTAAATATAAATCATTCTACATAAAAACATGATAATCTTTAATTTGTTTAAAAATTGTTCTGAGTACAGGAACAAAGCGGACATCAGAACCTAAATGTCTATAAATATAATTAGCATTATACTAATATAGTTTTAATATAATAATTAAGCAATATGTGTTATTTCGGCAGCAGCAGTAATAATAGTATTCGCATTTCTGTTTCTAAGCCAAAGCAAACAATTTATGTTTAATATTTTGTTTAAACTATCTAATACTGTGAAACTGTTACAATACTACACCATGCCCATTTAAAACATAAAAAACTGAGTATTTACCTGACGTGGATGCACTCCATGGGTGAGGGGAAAAGTGCTGTCTGCTGAACGACGGCGCGCCAACCCCCGCATGACTGTGCAGGTAGACAGGACTGCCAGGGATACTGGGAGCATAGCTGGTCAAAGCTGTGGAAACACACAGTAAAGCAGCTCAGTATGAAGTGAAACTGTGCCAGAAAGAAACCTCTTTAGACTAAAAAATAATCATTCAAATATAAAACATGATGATGAGAATGATAGAATGATGTCATGTATATAAATGAATAGAAATTAGTTATACCAATGGGGCTGTTGACGATCCTCTGAGAGTTAGAACGGTAGCCGGGGGCTTTGGAGTTGTCTGAAGGAGGTGGCATCATATTCTCCATCTGTCCCATGTTCATATAGGCTGGTGGGGCAGAGTATGACTGATCTGGAGGAGATCGTGCAGGCAAATGGCATGCACCCCACACCTGATTGTTTCCCACCTGTCAGTAAAACAAATTTTAATGGGTGAGTTTTATTGTTGTTTGTGGAAAAAAAGGGATATATA